CTGATGTAGTAGATTACTGGGGTTTTTTTTCTTCGTTTTGAAAATTTGTCATCAATGAATCTTTAATAATTAAATTAATGAGTCAGACCTTTTCCCTCGGTATCCAGGTTGAAAATTTATCCGGTTGGGGGGTTGATGGATAAATCTGTAAATCGGCCTCTTACACCACTAGAGATGTACATGTTTTCTTGTTTTATGATAATATTAGTATTTACAGTGTATTTCGTTTAAATGTCTCCTTATGTTTTCCCCAGAGATTCCAGCGCAAGACGAATCACAAGCAGGACTGATAACGGTCTTGGTAGTAGGTCCTGTAGTAATAGTCATAGGATTAGGGGCTTCTGTCCACTTTATAAGGTACATCATACATACTTCATTGGACTGTTATTCTCAAGTGAATGTTTGTTATTTTAACTTTGAAAAATGTCTTTTTGAAAGAAAAGTGCGCTAGTTAGTTAAATGACTTACATGGCATAGGCGTTGGAACCGAAGGGGGAGGGGCTTAACCCCTCCAATTTTTTTTCAAAGATAGACATTTTCTATGCATTGAAAATTGGGGTTTACCTTTTTTTGTTGGTTTAGCCCCACTTTCAATTAGCATCCCCACTTTCAATTTGCTTCCGACGCCTATGCATGGATTATTATTATACCTCATTATAGATATTCTAAACAACGCGTTATCTGATTGGTTCTAAGCTATCACGTGATCGGGCCGTACAACTTCATATTTCCCGGCGGTCGGCACGCTTTTCATCACATTCCACCTCTTCAGAACACCTTATGTATTTTCCCGCAATATAGTTCTCGTTCGTTGAACGAAAACTCCCGAGAGAAGTAGACGTAACAATAGCCTAGTTTACGTCACAAAACTGATGACAATGTGTTGAACGAAGGGTTTTATAGTAACTTTACGTAAAAAATGAAGATGAATTTGAAAGAGGTGCCGAATTTGAATGTTTATTTTAAAGGTTTTGCTTGTTTCGGTATAATAAACAATTCATTGCATGAATGTTCGGGAAACATGAAGACTTATTCAGCCAAGAAATATCATATTCCCCTCGGGCGAAGCCCTCGGGGAATATGATTTTTCTTGGCTGAATAAGTCTTCATATTTCCCTCACTATCACGCAATAAATGTATAATATTGCTTTGTAATATGACACCCATATTTATTTTTATGATATCAGGAGACGATGGTTCAGTGGTGGAACAAACTGAATGTCAATCATAAACAGGATAAAGGAGGAAACAGATGTAATATTTAAATTTGTGATAATTAAAGACATGTGAAGAAGACATCAAAATGAGTCAAAAACTCTAGAACAACTTGTAATAACATTAACGTTTAAGGAAGCTATTTTACGAGTTGTGTGATAAAGACATTACAGGTACATTTTGGTTTTGGGGAGCCTAATATTTAGTAATCGATGGAAACCACGAAGACGTTAAACAATGCAAAGTGAAAGGGCGTAATACACGAAAAGGGATGAAATTGAAAAATAAGTATTTTCAAGAAAGGGGGAATTTTAATGCCTTTTGGTAAGGTGCAATAACGTCCGTTTTTGCGTTAAAGGTCCTCTTTACTCTGCCCTATTGTCTTTTGCAGGGCTGCATAACTCATCATTCCATTTGAAGCAATATAAATCCCTTTTCTCCATGTGTTAAAGCATTTCATTTTTTCGCGTTATTTCCCCATTTTCCCTTTGCTTTATTACTTTTTTGTCGGATTTTTACCCTATTCACTTTGCACTATGACACGCTTTTGAAATTTTCCGGCAGTTTGGTTTTTTAAATAATCTTTCGTAAAATGTTTAAAAAATAGTTCTAATTTGAAATGAAACGAGAGAATAAGTTGAATGGCATATATATCTGTTTCATGTGTATTTGAATGGCATATATCTTTTTCATTTTTATTTGAAAGGCAGTTATCTTTGTTGTATTTATTTGGATTTTGTCCAGATAAATCCATCGTTATTAACAAGAATTGTAATTTTTTAAAGGCTGTATGACGGTATAAATGTATATTTTTATATTTAGCATGTGCCTTATGGGTTTTTACAGGACTAGCCTCACAATTTTGCTTCATAAGCATTAAAACATGTTTTCAGATAGATAAACTTTTTATATTTTAATGCAAATACCCTCTATGTATTGATACAAAATAAGTTTCTACAGTTATTAGATTAATCATAAAGTTCACCTCAAAGGTTGCAATAAAATCTTTTATCAGATTGTTCTTTGTGTATTTGGAGAAAAGGATTATATCTCAAGAATAAAGGGAAATAAATAGAAAGAAATAATGAAGGATTCGTAAACAAGAAGCCCATGGGCCTCAACGCTTACAGCGTAACTGATTAACTTAGGTCCAGCTGTTCCCCTATATTGGCGCCGATCCTACTCCTGGGGGCCATGATTTGAAAAATCTTGAATCCACACTACCCCACAATGCTTCCACATACATGTATGTCTAACTTTTCTGCCTTAGTTGTTCTTGAAAAGGTTTTCCTATAAATCTGAATGTTAAACTTGTTTTCCCCATTCATGATTTGAACATTTAAGAATCTATCCTACCACAGGATGCTTTCACATAAGTTTCAGCTTTTCTGGCCTCAGGCCTAGTGTTTCTTGAGGAGAAGATTTTTTCCTATATATTTCACATCAAAACTTGCATTCCCTATTGTGGTGCCACCTTATCTGTAGGGAGTTATGATTTGAATAGTTCAGAAAGTACACTATCTCATTATGCTTTCAAATATGTTACAGTTTTTCTGGCCCAATAACATTTGGTTCTTGAGAAGAAGATATTTAACGACTTTTTTCTAAGCATTTTAATGTAAATCTTTGAACCCCAATTGTGGTTCCGCCTTATACCTCCCGGGTTAATGATTTGAACAATTTAGAATTCACACTACCCAAGGATGCCTTAACATTAGTTTCAGCTTTTCTTGCCCAATGGGTTTTTAGAAAAATATTTTTAAAGATTTTTCAGATATATTTCAATGTAAAAACTTTAATTTCTTACTGTGGCCCTGCCCTACAGTACCTATGGGGGCCATTTTTTTTTTTTACAGAATTAAAAAGAATGGATGGACTTAAATGGTCAGAAAAAATTTAAGTTTCAAAGAATGTTAATTTTTTTTCCCATCATACAGACCCCCGATGTCTTAACCGTGTATTCATGGTACAGATGTGAATTTAAAACGCTCTTTTTGAGGTAAACTAAATAAATATCGAAGGCAAGGTACCTGAAGATTTCTTAAATATCAATAGATGATCAGAGTCACGCGTATTTCATCGTCTGAATACATAGTCAGCGTATGTTTGACATTCTTTGGGAAAGGTGAGTTTAAATTGTGAAAGTGAAGGGCGTAGTCCCCTTCAAAGGGGAGATAGTCAAGATAAGACAAAAATAGGATGGCGTCATTAAAAAAAAATCTTCTCAAAAACCACTGAGTCAGAAAAGCTGAACATTATTTGGAAGCATCCTTGAGTAGTGTAGAATGTAAATTATTAAAATCATGACCCCCGAGGGTAGGACGGGACCACAATAGAGATCCAAGTATTGCATTTAAATATATTGGAAAAATCTTCTTCTCAAGAACCACTGAGACAGAAAAGCTGAAACTTATGTGGAAGCATCCTGAAGTAGTGTAGATTCTAAATTGTTAAAATCATGGTCCTCAGAGGTAGGCTGGGCCGCAATAGGGAATCCAAGTATTACACTGAAATATAAAGGAAAAAGTCTTCTCCCCGAAAACCACTGAGCCAGAAAAGCTGAACTTATGTGGAAGCATTCTTGGGTAGTATAGTTTTAAATTCTCTAAAATATGACCCCTAGGTGTAGGGTATGGTCACGATAGGTATTACAAAGGGGGGAAACTGGTAAAGTTACTCAGAGAGCGATGTGGCCCATGGGCCTATTGTTTACAAATGTTATACCTAAAATAACCATGTATTCGTAGTTTTTAAATTGCTTGTAATTTATTTTGGATTCACTTTAATTACAGCTTGGTAGAATAGTCGCAAAATGATCCAAAATTGGGCGTTAAGTCCACCCATTCTTTACACTATATCCTAGGACGCTTCCATATAATTTTCAGCTTTATTGGCCCATTTAGTTCTAGAGAAGATGTTTAAAGACTTTTTCTCTATACATGTATGTATTTCAATCAAATTTCCGATTCAGATTCCCATTTATTGCCCCGCCGTACCCCCGGGTGCCATGTTGGACAGTATAGAAACTACACTACCAAGAATGCTTCCACTTAAGTTTCATCTTTTCGGCCCAGTAGTAGAAGAGAGGGAATTTTTAAAAAGATATTTCCTGTATATTTCAATGAAAAAAAAATGGATTAAATAAACACGGGTGACCTATTGCTATCCGTTTTCGTCCGTCGTGTGTTATCATTCAAACATTGTGATCTACTTCTCTGCAAACACTCAACCATTTTAAAAACGTCATCATAGTGAAAATCCATATTTTCTTTAAAAGTCTTCTTCTCTGCTCCTGGGTTTTAAATTTCATTAAAGCTGAAATGTTCAATTTACATTTAATTAAGGCTGAAATAATTTAACAAAATAATCTTCCTTGGCCCTCCGTAATTGTTCATTATCTTCTGTGACTTTTTAAAATGGAAATATCAAAAAGTTTCCATTCGCACATGAATCAAAATGTTCACTGCAAGGTGTATTCCTGACGGAGGGGTCTCGTATTTGTTGTTTATGGACTCTTACACGGTCAGCTAGTTTGTTACCGGTCTGTCCTATATAGTTTTCCCCGCATGAAGTACAAGTCATACAGTATGTTAAATTTCTAGTTTTGCATGACATATTCGCATTGACGGTAAACGTTTTACCACATTTAAATGTAAACTTTTCTCCGGTTTTTAAATAAGGGCAGGTTCCACACAGGGGATCCATACATTTGGCTACAGTGCGTTTTTCCTCATCCGACGAGAATCTGGCTCTTGTTAGGAGATTCTTTAGGTTTGGAGGTTGGCGTCGGCTATATTTTTACAAAAATAAAAAACTTAGTATATGGACCACTATCAGAGGGTTTAACAGATAAGGAAAAGGACTACCTGACAAACTTTGAATTCCGAGAGAGTCAATTCTATGGTTTACCTAAAGTACACAAATCTAAAATTATTAAGGATGCCATAAAAGAGCAAAATAGCATATGTATTACATGTGCTGATCCGGCTGATTTAAGCTTCAGACCCATTGTAGGAGGACCGAACTCTTCAACGCAAAGACTGTGTCATTTATTGGATATACTTTTAAAACCATATTGTCAAAAAGTACCCAGCTTTGTGAGAGACGATCTGGATTTTATAAATAATTAACCTACTCAAGTCACCTCTAACACTAAACTTGTTACACTGGATGTTGTAAGTTTATATACAAATATTCCTACAGAATTGGGATTGCTAGCAGTCAAATTCTGGATTGAAAATTATCCCGATGTTCTAAACGACAGATTTCAACGGGACTTCATCCTGGAGGCTTTAAAATTAGTTCTAGATAACAATACGTTTGCTTTTTCAGACCATCTTTGCCTCCAAATTAAGGGAACAGCAATGGGGACAAAGGTTGCACCTACCTAGGCAACATTAACCCTTGGTTATCTAGAACATAAGTTACATGATCAGCTATGTACGTTGTGGGGGATAGAATCTGCAAACAAAATACCGTCTAAATGGAAAAGATTTTTAGACGATTGTTTTATCTTATGGGAGGAGCATGTCGATAAACTAACGGAGTTTTATGATCTACTAAACCAAATGAATTCGGATATCAAATTCACGATGGAAACAGATGATATGCAAATGCCATTTCTCGATGTTCTTGTAACAAAGGATAATACCAGCTTAAATACGGATATTTACTATAAACCGACCGATACATACCAATACCTACATTTTGGATCGAGCCATCCACATCACACTAAAACAGCTATAAGCTTAACTGAGGATTTTTGTGTTTTCTTTTTTATTTTTTTAAATATTGTTATCCGATTACTGAGACATTATCTAAATTTTGGATATATATATATATATATATATATATATATATATATATATATATATATATATATATATATATATATATATATATATATATATATATATATATATATTAAAAAATAACAGAACGCCGATTAAAACTCTACCGGTTTCAATTGTATCATCAGGAGTTTTGACATATTGCTATAGATACAAACATTTCAAAGTATATTGTGACGTCATGTAACGTCAAAAGTGTTGCGCTTTAGTACAGTTCATTGTGACGTCATTATGTTACGTTATTACGTTAACAATTAGACAAATAATGCGGGAAAATTGTAAATTGTCTATTATGACAGGGCATTTAGCTTTGGTTTAAGAAATGAAATAAAATGTTTTTCCTTGGTTTCACGTTCTTTTTCGGAAGTCTTGTTATAGAACTTGTATATAGGAAAAACTGTAAAATTAGGGAAAATGTTTTCAGCACATATTCTGATATGTCCGCTCACGGCAGTGCACTGGTATTCAGTTTGACGAATCTGTTGACGATGGACGGTCATTCGGTGTTTAAGGGTGTCCCCGGTTTGGCCAATATAATGCTCGCCGCATCCTGAACATGTCATGACATATATCAAATTTGAACTTTCGCAGGTAAAAGAAGAATGAATAACGAATTTTCTTCCGTTTTTAAAAATAAATTGTTCGGTTTCCTGTAAAAAGGGACAGGTTGCACATCTTGGTGTTAAAAAATGTCATCATTACTGGGTTTTTTTTCTTCGTTTTTAACATTTTTAGCTACTTCTCTGCAACCACTCAACCAATTTCAACCAATTGTAGCATAAAGCATATATGGATGACTGAGAACAAAATCGTGAATTTATGGTCCATGTCCCCCTCGTGCTTGAGGGGTTATGCCAAACCACTTACCAATTTTAAAAATCTTCTTCTTTACTCCTGGACATCAAACAGTAAAACTGTTGGCATGTTTGCAATATGCCTCTACCAAAATTGTGAAATTCATTTCCCCATGTTCTAGTGCTTTGGCGGGGCTAAATAGATTATACAGTGAAAATCCATATTTTCTTAAAAAGTCTTCTTCTCTGCTCCTGGGTTTTAAATAAACTAACCAGTTACAAAGTTGTGTTGAACAAGGTTGCCTCTTTCAGAATTGTGAATTTCATGGCCTCTGGGACAGGGGTTCTTATGTTAGAACGGTGTTTTATTGAT